AGAACATATTATGGCTAAGGCTACAGTTATACACGTCATAATAATAATATTAAACACCCTGTCTGCTGACAGTCATCAACATTTCTCTCTAGTTATCCTTGACCAGATGTACCCTGTAGAAACTCATAAGCATGACTAAGCATTTAACAGTCTAACTAGACATCCTATCTCCACTAAACATTTCTAATACATAAAGTATCTATCCAGTTTCTATCTGACTAAAAATATCGTAACACTTACAACACTGTTATTTAGTTTAATATATAGCAGCGCATGATATTTGATAAGTTTGCTATGCTTTAACTAAAATCTACAAGTAACTACTAACTAGCTGTCAGTTAAATGTGCAATATTAGCCCCTGAATTGTAGGAATTTTATAAAGTGACATGAAATGGAAGTACTAAAGTACAAGTACCTCAAAGTACTTAAGCACTGTACTTGAGAATGTTTTAATATGCAGTACTGCTGCATATTAACCACTGTCAATGCTGTCATTATGTTTGTTGTTAACATATCTGCAGGGCAAAGTATGGCTCATTCATTGTACAAAGTGACCCTGATTTACATTCAGAGAGCGTAGGAGATAATGAAATGCTATGAACCAAAATTTCAATACATATTCTCTGCACATTTCCTAAGATACCAAAACGGTAGCTGAAGGAAGAGGAGGATCGTTCTCATCCAGAACCAATGGTATCTGTTGTCCTGGGCCACATGTATGGATGTAGTTTTTTTGACTACAGATCAGAACTTGTGATAAAATAATCTTGTGAATGTCTCTTTATGCCTTGCTGCCTAAATATTAATCAACAGTCGGTTCCAATAGAAGGAAAGTACCACACATATACAGTCTCCTATAAATAATAAAGTACTTAGCATAAAATCTTTGGTGCAGTAAACATTGTTTTTCCCTGAAGATTATGTGACCTTCAGACTTCACCACAACCAACTAGGTGTCTGTCTGAATGTGTTTAGAAAATGTCCTGTATATGATTTGATAGATAGGAAACAAACAAACAGCCCCCGAGTGAAACTTCCCATGTGACTTCCTTGCTGTGCAGATACACATGCAAAGACACACACACACAGAGTTTCTCCCAGTCTCACAGGTACCTAATCACACAGACATTCAATTCCCATGTGGTTGTCAACAGAAGTGGTTTCATTCTCAATCATTTCAAAACCTCATCCCTTCTTGTGTGTTTCAGTCTCTCTTTCTGTCTCTCCCACTCATTCTGCCACCCGAATGACCCCCCACACACCCCACTTCTTGCTTCTTGTTTGTTTTGGCATGCTTCTGCTAAGCCTTTAGATACACAGCCCTCTGCTCTCTTTGATAATCTTACACCGTGTCTTCCTTGCCTCCAGTTCCCCTCCAGCGCTGGGTTGCTGCCTGGTTGCTGCTTGGTCCAGCTGGCTCCTGACAGTTTGAATGACTGACTGATTGTTTCTTTTATATGCATACCGCAGGAGCCTCCTTCTGTAATTCAACTGGAAACGATCCTAACTGATATCAGTCTACTTAGAGCCCCAGTGTGATGAGGATCATTTAATTGTACCCGTAGAGGTTGACTGCTGTAGAAATGAAAGGCAAATTAATGATTATTTTGGCTTTGTATCAACTTTAAGAAAGAATCCATAAATAATGAATGAACACAAGCAGTCATGCTAAGTTTAACCTTTTCTATTTATAAAATAAAATGAAAAGTGATGTGTGTTGTGATAAAGATGCAGCTGCTATTAAACAAATTGTGCTTATGTAGAGAAGGCTGCCTGGAGCTGCATCACAGGATACAGGAGCAGTTGGCCACAAATGACCTCCAGGAGAGTTGCTGCCAGTGTTAACAGCATAGCACTCCCTGATTCATACTCCTGTGTTGAAACTATGCACTGTTGTTTGTGAGATGGTGGTTGAACTGTAGTCCAGCTCAAAATAGAGCAGCCCTGCTGCTGAGGCAAGACGGGGTGCTGAGCTGGGACTGCAAGGAGCATGACTGACTGCTGCTCTGATGAGAGGGACTGGGTTGTAAATTTTGAATAAGATGCTGGTAGGTGCATGTTTTGGTTCACAAAGGCAGCTGGAGGGCTCCATTTCTTCAGAAGACGCACACAAGTTAAAGTTGTTTAAGCAGCTCGAGCACCTATCAGAGACCTGAGAGTTAGGTTCAACCATGACTAAATTGACAGTAAAATGTATTCAAGGAATAGAAGTGGGAACTGTCCACATGAGGGAAGCAGTCAAATTCTTGAAGATTACCTTACATGTACTCGCTGCTGGTTTTTAAGTATAACTCACAGTGCTGTTGAAATTGTCCAGCTCAAGTGAACTTTTGACCTTTAAATTACCAAATTTTAGGAGGAACTTTTGGCCGAGTTAAGCTTTCTAAATGAAACCCCACGTCTGCACATCAGCCAGGGCCTGAAGACCAGCTGTAGAGCTGCTCTGGAAGCTATGAGGCAGATGGGGCTTGAGCCTGATTTCAGGCTTTTTGGCAAGCAGGGAATGAGAGGCAAGGTTTAGAAATGAATTGCAACAATTAGGCCTGCAAGAGAAACAATCAGAGCTTTACATAATAGAGGAAATGCAACCATAATAACTACCTGGTGACACTAAAATGAGCAAAATGTGAATGTGTTCAGTACTTTTAAGATCTTTAAGGACATAACATATTCCCAATGAAATAACGTGAAACAAACGAGACAGCTGGATGGCTTCTGCAAACAGTAGCTCTGAAGCAACTGTTTCATCATTCCAATATATGGCTTCATTGATTTACTCTTTCTTTTGCACCATCTGTTTATCACAGTCATAATCCTGTGCATTCCTTGTGGGGATGTATTCATGAGATAGACTTTTTTTTCTTCATACAAAACTTTTAGCTATGCAAGCATGAACTATAGCACTTACTACATTTTTTTTTCTAAAACTTTCTTCAGAGTGATCAAAGCATGTTTAATGTGTCAGAATGATGAAACTGGTTGCAAACAAATACAAAACACGTTTTGCTTAGGAAGCACATTATTATAGTGAACTCGCATCCTGCAAAGCTGAAGCAGCCTACGGTTAGATTAAGTTGCCAAAGGCCCTTGGTTATCATGCTTGTATACCTCTGCATTGCACCACATCCATAAATGCAGCAGCAACCCTCTTCACTTTAGCCAAACAGCCCTCCTGTCAGTTGAAAGTCTATGGAAAAGCATCACTGTATGAAAAACCTCAAGGACGATCAATAATCTAGTTGCTGCACCTTTCTAAGACACAGCGGCATAGGAGGCTAAATTGGTTAACCAGGGTGTATGACGAAGCATTTTTGGGTGCAATTGGACTTCATTGTCCATCAGAAAAAGCTCTTATCCTGCACAAGGTAATGGTTAGCTGCTGTCCCCTGCAATATTAGATGTCATTCAGTGGGTGCTGCGGGGAGAAAAATTACCCTTGTGCTAATGTCTGCCTGCCTGTCCCCACTGCTCACTGGCTCCTTGGTCTCTGCAGCTGGCACCGGCTGGCCGCTCTGTTTACAGTGGAGCCCTCATCAGACACAGATCCTCCAGATTAGATCAGCACTCTGACCCGCTCAGCCTCCAGCTAATGGCCACAGCTGGCTGGAGATCAGGTGACCACAAACAAATACACATAGACAAAAACACCTGTATGTACAAATACATGCCTCTTACAAGGACACGCACTCACATCATTACAATTACATCTGTTTAAAGGCACAAAGACATGGCCCCACTAATACAGTAGGGCTATATATAATGATTATTTTTATACCTGAATATTCTCTTTATTCAATGAATGAATTCATTGTTTGATGAGGATAATCAGACAATATTCACATTTGAGAGCCTGGAACCAATTAATTTTTGGCACTTGGTTTCAGCTTTAAAATACATATCTGTTAAGAATATTATACTGTGTACTGTAGAGCTAAATCAAGAAAAGGGCAGTGTAAGCTTATTGCAGATATAATGGTATAAGTATATTTTATATCGGACAATCAGTAACAAGAAATCCCAAAGATACTGTATGTTTGACGTACTTTAGAAACATGTAAGCTGGTTACTAAGAGAAGTCTGATTTTGGTCAGACTTATTTTAAAGAATAAGGCTTCCTCATTATGAAACACCAGACCTTATTAATTGTTAAGAATATCTGGAGATTTTGTGCATGGGCCCTTGACTTTTGCTTGCTTCAGATTGTAAAAAGTTATGGCCAGTCGGAACCTTTGGGGCAACTTTTTTTAACAGATATTAGGGTCTGGTTTTTTTGTAATGAGGAGATGTCAACCAGTGCAGCAGTGTGTTTCACTGAAGTACTTTTAATCATTTTCAAACAACAGTGGAGGTCAATGGTACAGACGAATAAGGTAATCCAGGACTGACAGATTGGCAGACATTAACTATGAGTATAGGCAAATCATTGTTGGGTTTAGTCTCTGTATGGGGAGTGTTTAAAATACTGTTAATGTAGAAAATGACCGGCCTTATCCTTTAACTACAGGGACATGTCGCTCTATGTAATGATCTCTCATTTCATCCAACCATTCCAGTCTGTTGCTTTTCCTGTCTGCAGTTTTTTGTCATGTGCATGTAAAAAGCTGGATAGAAACCTGGTTACTCATATACACGACAGAGATTTTGGCATTCTCTGGTGGAAATCTACCCAGGGAAATCAGGTTTCTGTAATCCTCTACCTCAATTATGAAAACCAGGTTTCTTGTTTACATGCAGTTAAGAAATCAGCTTACAGCAGAAAGCCTACTGTAAGCCGGTTACTTAAGTCAATGAAAACACAGTTGCTGTCTCCATTACATGATTTGTCTACCAGAGAGGTGTTAGATGTGTATTTTTCAACAGTAAAATCGTGTACTCAGCACATTCAGTATCTCCTTAAATCTTTTGGATCGAGAGGGAATACTTTATAGCTGGAGCCCAGACCTCATTCATCTCCCTGAGGCCCTTGTAAAGCCACAAATATTGAGATGCAGTTGTAGAGGTACAGCAACCAAATTTAAAGGATCCAAAAATGTCATGTCTTAAGTTAAAAAAATGAATATTGGCTGATATGTTGTCACAATTTCCAGAATTTTCTAAAATCTTATTAAAAATTTGAATTAAATATTAATGTGTGTCAGTAGATATGTATTTTCATAACAACAACAAAAACACATTGTTTGTACAGAGTTTACACAGTGACTTATAGATCCTTCCAGTGCAACAAATTGATGATTGTGTCACATTAGAATACCGTAACATGTGGATCGTCACATCTGCAGGGAACGCTGGGGAAGTCCATTTCTATAATGAACATGTTAAGCTTGATACCATAGATATTTATATGGGTGCAGCTGTGGCTCCGGTGGTAGAGCAGTCCTCAGGCAAAACACTGAACCCCACGTTGCAAGGACAGAGCCGCCATCGGTGTATGTGTCTGTATGTGAGTGAGTTGGCTTGGTAGATGGCTGCCTTGGTTTTGTACCTTAGACAAATTCCTAATGCGTGTAACATACTTGGCCAATAAAAGTGATCATGATTATGATAACCTGTTCTGATGAGACAGAAGCTTATGGGTGAAGTACTTCTTTGCCAGTGAGCACTCATGCAGTATATAGCTGACACATCTTGAGCACAAAGTAGGAGCAGACTGGAGGAAGGCCCAGAGATAATTGCACCGCTTCTTCAGAGAATCAGTTTTTGTTAACATCATCAGTGCAAAACGTTCTCATGTTCGCACATGCAGATGCAGAGACAAATGTGTGTGAATAAGGATATCACCCCAGCTCCCTGACTTCGTGCTCCCCTGTTCTTGCACTTCACACATGTAGCTGCCATTTAGCCTTTTTAAATCTCAGCCCCAGTCACAAGAGTCCCCAGCAGAGTTAAGACTGTGACCCCAATTTCACCTGCACTGAGTGGAAAGACTGAGAGCTGTCACCTTTGTTCAGAACTAACAGTGCATCTGTCTGCTTTCAACACTCTATCAGAGGCTGTGTGTGGCTCTCATGTGCCCATATGAAAAGATATCAGAAAGTCTGCCTCAGTTTACATTGTGTAGGATGAAACCTCATCAGGAAGGAGGGGGATTACTTTATAGCAGGATCCCAGACCTCGTTCATCTCCCTAAGACCCTTGTAAAACGACAAATATTGAGATGCATTGTAGAACTGCTTCACTGTAGGAAGTTGAGGTACAGTAGCAGGTAAATAAGAAATTTTACTAATTTTTCAGGAATTTATCTTGATAGAGACACACAGCACAGGCATAACAGAATTTCACATTCAGTGAAGGGTGGAGCCTGGAATATGAAACATAGATTAAGCTATATATACATCAAAGTCTCCATGATGGTGTGTATTTAATTTGGCGTACTCATTCCCATTTTAACAAATTTTCATCCTGTTTTCAGACTTGAATGTAAATCCAATGGCTGCAGCTACAGAGCATGATAACGCCAGTGAGCAGCAGTGTACTATGTGAAAGTTACACAAGGAGGTGACAGGTAGGTATTTAAAGACCTGGATTCAGACTGAAGCTGGCAGAGAAGAGCTGGCTAAGTCAGGGGTTTCTTCCTGCTGCCTTGGGATTGAGTAAAGCAGGGCACATAAATTACCTTCAAGGAAGCTTCATGTAGTATAAGAGCTTCAACAGTGGCACCAAGTTATCCTGTTATCTGGCCTTGATTAGGTAAAAGGCTAAATATAGCTGTGAGAAAATAAGCTTGTTATTGATCATTATTTGATCAGTCAGATACCAATTTTATCATGAGACCTGATTGGATGGTGTCATGTATGGTTGTATCATAATATTTAGAGGTGAGGTAAGTCAAAACATGTAGGCCCAAAATGCCCTCTTGGCTAAAAGGGGAAGTGAAGGTGTTGTCGCTTATATGAGTATAAGACCATTTAAATTGCTCATCAGAGAGGGTGGAGGACTACCGTGTGTGGTTGTGCATTGCTCTCCAGTTTGACATACTGAATGTGTAAGACTACTGAAGCGCTAGGAGTTATTTGGGGTTCGGGAAGTAAAAGTCCTGTAGCATGTTCATTATCACTGTAGACATTGCTAGGTGACAGACAGCTGGAGTACTTGCAGGTCTTGAATGTGCATGAAACACCCGGCTGATCAGCTGCTCAACCTCTCTCTGGAATGCTCCCTAATGTGTGGATGCATTAGTGTCATAGCAACAAGAAAAAGTAGTTTGAACCCTGAATATATGCTGATAAAATGTTCACTATGAACAGTTTTGTGAACATTTTACTGGAGGAGATTGCTCTGTAAGATATGTCTGATGAAAAGTCAAATGTACATATTTGTGTAATTTAAGACCTAAAGGTACAAGTCAAGTAAAACTCCTAAAAAGCATTCTGTTATGAAAGGCCCAGTCATAAAGTGTAAAATTGCTTGTATGCCACGTCACTAAAGGTGACTACAGGAAATGTCTGGCTGTAGCTGAGCTGTGAAGTGGTTAGTTTTCATATTTGTCATATTTTTGTAACACAAGCAATGTTTTCCTTACCGCTCATTTGGACGGCCAACGCAACCTCCCGCCTCCCCAAAAAAGGAGGAGCATCTTAATGTGCATTTCACTGTCCTGCAGCGTGACGGCTTCTCTTGTGACCCTACAGAGGACATGGTTTATCCATGCTTACAGCTAAGATGAAGATCAGTTTTGATTGACAGTAGTTCGAGCTGGAGACGTGCGTTCAGTGCAGCATCAATGGCTTCTATTCAAAGTTGACGTGAACAAGTGTCAGGCGCCGAAGTAAAACCAGGCCAAAATATCAGCTTTTTTCAATTGCGTATCAACTTTCAGTGCCATCACTGAACCTACTGCTACCTGACCAGAGCTTGGCAGCAGTGACCAGGATGCTTCTAGCTCCTCTGCTGCAGAGGAAGCTAGCCCTGCCTCGTGCACTGCAACAGTTCCACGGACCATCGAGCACAGGAAGACGGTCTAAAAAGAAGGACAAACTTTCATTTTGCAAATCATCTTTTACACATCAGAGGAAAAAGAGGAGAGCCCTCTATATATACCTGCATATATACCCTCAAGTCTGTGATTTCATCCCCATTTATTAGTCATCAACCACTTTTGAATTATAGAACTGTCTTAGGAAGTGTGTTCCACTTCTTCATACAGCTGTGCGACTAAATGATAGCTCAGTTCGCTTCATTTCCCCTGTTGCATATATCTTTGAGGTGGGAACCACAGGTGCCCTTTCAACTAATCCATTTCCTTGTCCCATATTTGCAAATGTGCATAATGCATGACAAAATGGCATCCCTAGGAGAGGGTCCAATGAGAGCACTATTTTTAGTATGCACCTGGCATCAGTGCCGCCCATCCTGATATCGCAGATTCCATTACAAAGGTTTGGTGCGATAGCAGAGATAAAGGGTTGATGTGTGCGGGCTGGGGATAGATATGTAAAAGTCTCCGAATATTCTTACTGCTTGCTTTTCCCCAGAGTTAAAAGAGTTTCCTTACAATTCAATCAGGCAAATGAAAATATTAACACACTTTTGAACAAAACATCACTCAGTGGAGGCAGCAGTGTGAGAATAAAGGATGCCTTCATCATGCTAGGATATCAGAAGAAAGGAGATGCAGGAAAGAAATGTTTCTATTATCTCACACAACAAAAGAAAGAAAATTTAAAGAAATAAAGCTGAAAAGAAATGTTTTTTTTTTTAATGTTGACATATCTTCTGTCAGATTCTTGTCTGTGCACTGTCTTTGTGTTGTCTGTGCGTGTTCTCCCTGACACACTCCCCTTTTGTTTAAATCAATTACATTCCGTTCAGTAGGCTTTGCAGGCATGACAAGATTATACTGTCAAATGGAACAATGACAGTAAATATATTAAAATCTTTGGGCTGATTTCCACACTTTCAGTTTGCAGTTTATAGATTCTATCACATGGGTAAATATAGTGAACTCTATTCCAAGATAAATTGACCTTAGATAACAATAAATTTCACCAGTTTTCTTATCTCTGTCTCTATCAGTTTTTGTTTCACTCTGTATTATTGGTCTGGCATGTAAAAAAAAGAAAATATTGTCCCCTTACAACACACACAGCCTTTCCCACAGAAGTAGAAAGAGTCTGTTTTATCTTATAAAATACTTTTAGGTTTGGAGACGTATGTGAAAGAAGTGGGGAAGCTTCAGTTTGAATGACATTATCTTTAGCAAAGTCAATTTTGCCTACCTGTTCTGCAGGGCACAGATTTCTCTGTAGTTTCGTACTGGGCTGATCAAACATCTTGATAAAGTTTAATGGTACTTGTAATTAAACTCAGAATGAACATGTTTTATATAATTTTGTTGCTGCAATTCCAAGCAGTCCTGAATTACTCGGAGCATAAATGTACATCCAGATGCAGCATGTACACGCAGATGTATGTAATGACAGTAAGCCTATTGCAGCATGATGGGACATACTGAGATTGCTATCTTCATGATGGATTTCCAAGTGCAGCTGCTTTAAAATACTATTAGGACATAGTCCCTGGCTTTCTAAAGGATGTTGTCTAATTTATTGCTTCTGCTGAGACTGAGTTTGTGCCTGCTCTAGTCTTAAAGTTTGCAACCAATGCACCTACAAAACAAGACAGCAGTGTTTCTGTGTGTGCATGTTGTAGATGCAAGTTGTGCAGATTGTGTTCACTGATACAAAATGCTCCCAGTCACACTTGCACTGCTGCATCTTCAGCTTACCTTGTTTTGGCAAAGCAGTTTGGAAATGCAATCAAAGCATATAAATTGATAGTACAGCAAAACAACAGTCCCAGTTTAATTCCTGCTTAATGACATTGCTGCTAAGCGGACCACTGCCTCTAGAGGTGTAGCACAGGAAAAACCTCATTACTTTCTTTTTTGGGGGAGGGGTCCACTCATTATTTCTATTCAGAACAGCCCACCTTTATCTGCTGAATGTTTAGAAATGCAATGAGGAAAATTTTTAGTGTACATGTAACCCGCACAAAGCCCAGCAGGGATGTTACCCAGAGAGATGCAAATGATCCTGTTTTTCTGTGCATAAGTGGCGAGAGAAGCAGACGGGGATATAAATGGTGGTGGCATTTCATGTTAGAGAAACGATGGCCCTAAGTGCAGGATGTAGTCTCTATAGACGGTGTTGTTTATCTCTGTGTGTGTGTGTGTGTGTGTGTGTGTGTGTGCACGCACAGTTTTTGTTTTTCCCATCTTGCAGTCAGTAACTCAGTCATGACATAAATAATTTATGCTTGGCATCTTCTGAAAATGTTGGTTTCAGCATGGTCCGAGTATTGATTGCTGGGTATTGACTGAAGGCCAAGGTGTCAGATTCAATTGGGAAAACATGAGGATGCTGTATTAATATGTGTGTGTGTGTGTGTGTGTGTGTGTGTGTGTGTGTGTGTGTGTGTGTGTGTGTGTGTGTGTGTTTTCATTAAGCTTATCCTCAATCTACTTCCGATTGGTTTCATTGTATGTGCAGTTTATCTATAAGTTCATTTTCAGCTGCCATTGATATACAGTTGCAAATGGTCCGAATAAAGTCTCCGTGTACGAGCATGTAGTCTGTCATATCCCTCGTCCAAGAATTTATGACTCTGTAATCGTGTAATCTGACATAGTGAGCAGATAAACAAATCGTGTAGTCTGAGCCAGGTCTTTATTGTCACTTTGTGATGTCATTTTACCTTCTCTTGGTTTTAGTTTTCAACCTGTCTGTTGTTTTTAACCCTGTAAAGCCCAACATATCAAAAAATAGCCAGAACATTCTAATTTTTTGGAACTGAGATGTTTATTAAACCTTTTAACAAAATATAATTCATGATTTGAAATTCAAGATTCCCAATTTCTATTTGCCATTTGCCATATATGCATAGACAGACAGTCCAGGCATATAGGAATAGAGGTGCCATATTATTTAGATTATTTCTATTTCTTTTGTATCACATTTGATACATGGGGCATTTTTGGCGAATTTTATTTTATTTATTTATTTATTTTTGCTCATAAACCTCGCGTATCAAATATGATACAAATGGTTTTATAGGGTTAAGTCTGTATATCTAGCCTATTTATCCAGTCATTTATCTCTCCTTTAAAATGTGTTTCGTGCTTTTCTTTACAGGTTTTTCCATTCACTATATACTGTAGCTGTTTCAGAAAGTGTTTAGATCACTTTACTTATTGCACACTTTATGTTGTAGATAGGACTGGGCAATATGGCCAAAAATATTATCACATATTTTCTTATATTGATTGATTTCAGTAATTTTATATACAGTCTATACACACATTTATCACTATTAACAAGGAAGAAAACACACTCGGCACGTTAGACCTCAAGGGCACACAATATTTTATGGTGAGTAACACTGAATGTGAACTCCACAGGACACCTTTTAATTTGAATTTCAAGCAGTATATTTTGTTTAGGGTTGAAACCGACTCAAGTCACAAGGTTTGTTATGGTTCTGAACCATCTTTTTTTTTTTTTTTGACTAAATTACTCTCTGCAGCCCATGTGGTTAGACAGATATGTTTATAGGCCCATGCAGCTAGATTACTTGTTAGTAGTGTTGGCAAAGTGTGTAAAGCTGCTCTTCCACGTTTCTCCTGCACTGTGCATAAAGTCGAGACAGCGCTGTTTTCAAAAGAATTTCCATCGT